GCCCCTTATATGGTCATTGGGCCAATAGATGAAATGACTAAGTGGAAATACTGTGTTTTTACATAGGACAACAGGTTACAGCCTAGTAAATGTGTCAATTGCTGGTGGGCCAAATCAAATGGTTTGGCGGGCCAAATGTGGCCCGCGGGCCCCACTTTGGGCTCCTCTGGTATAGTGAGTCAGGTAGATTTGTCATACTGGGCTTGCACTTCAGAACTATTTTTGCTGTAATAACTGGAGTAGAGGTTACCTCYAAAGCACACAGTCAGCATCTTTCCTTGGCTCTGTGCCTAAGCTGTCTATCCTAAGATAAATAAAAAAAATGATTTACTTTCATTAGTTTATCAGATTGGACACAGGTCTGGACTGAACCATCATTTGGTCTGGATTTGGACCTAGGTCTGCCTGGAATAATAAAATGATGTAACTGAACAGAAACTTTTACATGACTACTTCCTGTCTGTTCATCTAACAGATGCTCTTCAGGGATTTCTCCAAACAAGAGCCTTTGATTCATGAGCAGACAAGAAGACTAATACTGAACAGCTCAGCCAGAAGAAACAACATGATGGGAAACGTCAAGGACAGATCTTCATGAGGAATAATTGATTGTTCTACAGATGCAGTGTGTGTTTTGCCATTTTATCACCACACATTCATTATCTCTGATTTTTAATGTTCAGGTGAAGCTGATCTGTTTGACTGTGAACATACAGTAACATGAATGACACATTTGTGTGCTCAGAGATGAACACTGCTGCAGTGATTTGTCTGCTGGGCAGGTTACCACACAGGAAAATGGTTCCAAATGTCATTCTGTATGGTTATAAATATTAGGGCCCAGGACAAGGAGACAAGGTGAGTAAAGGCCCAGAACCAAAGAGACACAGGTGAGTAAAGACCCAGGACAATGAGACATGGGTAAGTAAAGACCCGGGACAAGAAGAAACAGGTGTGTAAAGACCCGGGACAAGGAGATACAGGTGAGTGAGACCCAGGACAAGGAGATACAGGTGAGTAAAGACCCAGGACAAGGAGCCACAGGTAAGTAAAGACCCAGGACAAGGAGCCACAGGTAAGTAAAGACCCAGGACAAGGAGCCACAGGTAAGTAAAGACCCAGGACAAGGAGACAGAGGTGAGTAAAGACCCAAAACCAAAGAGACACAGGTGAGTAAAGACCCAGGACAAGGAGACACGGGTGTGTAAAGACCCGGGACAATGAGAAACAGGTGAGTGAGACCCAGGACAAGGAGACACAGGTGAGTAAAGACCCGGGACAAGGAGACACAGGTGAGTAAAGACCCGGGACAAGGAGACACAGGTGAGTAAAGACCCGGGACAAGGAGACACAGGTGAGTAAAGACCCAGGACAAGGAGACACAGGTGAGTAAAGACCCAGAACCAAAGAGACACAGGTGAGTAAAGACCCAGGACATGGAGACACAGGTGAGTAAAGACCCAGGACAAGGAGAAATAGGTGAGTGAGACCCAGGACAAGGAGACACAGGTGAGTAAAGACCCAGGACATGGAGACACAGGTGAGTAAAGACCCAGAATCAAAGAGTCACAGGTGAGGAAAGACCCAGAACCAAGGAGTCACAGGTGCGTAAAGACCCAGGACATGGAGACACAGGTGAGGAAAGACCCAGAACAAGGAGACACAGGTGAGTAAAGACCCAGGACAAGGATATACAGGTGAGTAAAGACCCAGGACATGGAGACACAGGTGAGTAAAGACCCAGGACATGGAGACACAGGTGAGTAAAGACCCAGAACCAAAGAGTCACAGGTGAGTAAAGACCCAGGACAAGGAGACTTTTATAGTAGAGGAGCTCATCATGGTATCCGCTGCAGGTGCTTCAGGTCTCAGCCCACAGGTCCAGTTAAGGTTGAGGACCTGCAGAAAGACTGAAGTCCTGCAGTAATGTGATAGACTTACTGCAGGTCAACTCAAACATTTGTCTTTTGTGGGCTGAGCWGTAGAGCTGAGTATGTGGGTTGTACACATGAAATAATTGCCCAATCTTCTCTGCCAAACAACTTATTTTATTGTTATTGACACTTGTTTTGAGTTTCTGGGACCCCCAGGTGCTGCCAATCAGGTGCCCTCTGTAAGATTTACTGCCAAGAAGCATTGTTACAACATAGAAATAATCTACCAAATACTAATTCCCTTAACTTTCACCTGGGCAGGTTCTGTTAGTAGTCAGTACCTGASAGGCATTCTGTGTTAGCATGAATGAATGAATGCACATTATCCACCACCTTTCATGTCAGAGTTTTAGACCAAGCTTATCTCATATTAGGAAACAATAGAGCTGTTTGGGTCAAACATTTTAAATAATGTCATGTGTATGAAGACATCACACGTAACGTACATGTTGTTAAATATGACTGAGAACTGTCCTTTAAAGCTCAGGTCCAAAACTTTTGGAACAACTTTTACATGATTACATCATATTTTAACGAGCTTGTCACAGGCCAGGACTACAACTACAGAACTATCAGTGTGGATGTAGCAGAGGTTAGAGAGAATGTCCTGTAGCCGGCTCGATCCCCTGTTCCATCGTCTCAGTCGTTGTGTCCTTGAGCAAGACACTTCACATTATTATTATTATTATTATTATTATTATTATTATTATTATTATTATTATTATAAGCAAATTCTTCAAGTTTTCATAAAAAACAATGCCTCTTCACTGAGCAAGACTATAAAAACTTGTTGAGTTAAAAGAACATGTTAAACCTGATAAATCTGTCTCTTGTACAAAATGATTTATAGTCAGAGTTTTCCTCCACTTATTTATTTTCTTTGTGTGAGTACAGCTGGATGTCTTCAAGCTGCAGAAGGAAGATACAATGTTGTTCCACTCAGGAGAAGTTCTTTAGATCAGTCTCCATTTTTTGTAACACTTGCGTTGGACTGGAGCTCTGTCCCAGTGACGAGATGACAACCAGACTCTTTAACACTGATACAGTACTGAGATCTGTCACCACACAAGTCACAATGTTGTCTTTCGCCACTGGTCTGGGTTCTGTTAGGACTTGTGGATTTTGACCCATTTCTTATTAATGTACTTCTTTTCTTTTTCTGTTTTTTCTGTTTCAGAAATCTCTTGAGGGTTGTCTTTTACGTAAAATATAGGTAGGTTTGAATAATTTTGTTAATTTGTTTAATCCTACAAATTGTACTTTTTTAGAGTGACATCAGACCACTGACAAAAGATGAACAATCTTTTCATTGACTTTGATACAAATAAATGTATCTGATGTTCAGTAACTATACTTTTATAACCATTTTGCCTTAGTTGATTAGCTGTGGAAATCATCTTGAACTGGACTGACTCCAAAAGAGAATCAGTTGAAGAGCCACATGATTGCAGTTTCACTAAAAGAGAGAAAATCTTTTATGAGTTTTCTATGAAATTTGTTAGGTTGAGAGATTCTTTCAGCCATAAAATGGTGTGTGTGTGTGTGTGTGTGTGTGTGTGTGTGTGTGTGTGTGTGTGTGTGTGTGTGTGTGTGTGTGTGTGAACACACAGCTCAGAGCTACCT